CAAAGTAGGCCACTTTGTTGTGCTATCATTTTGTGATGACGTCGATTCTGAAAAATAAGTTAATACCTCAGTGGGCTTTACCTGGTAGGATATATATTGTTAAGTGATTTGTTTACCTTTCCTATACTTTGCACTCCTGCCGTGTTTTTGTATTGCGTTTGTCGTTGTACCTTTCTGCCCCCCCCGTGCCCCTACTGGACTATCCATGAAGAAAAGCTTCATAGCTCACGATCGGATTCCTCTCCCGTATGGATACATATTCTGATGATTGCGATTCGAGAGTCTTGAGACCCTGCAAGGCTCTGCTGACGGCACAGTGGCCGTGTGATCCCATGGACTTGAGTGGGGGCCTTCGCTGCCCCTCCACAATGGGGAGTACGTCACTGCCGGTCCGTGGTGATTTGGGGCGGCTAGAGGATTTGAACCCCAGGTTTTACATGCTTTGCTAGCTTGCAGAGGGCGTTCGAATTATCTTCCCGGGCCACCTGGCCACGTCCACTAAGTAATATGTGCAATAGATTAAGAGGAGGGCCCCACTCCCCCGTAATGGGCTTAACATTGTTTTTGTCACCAGCGGGTAGCCCTGGTTAACACTGCTCGGGTGTGTGTATGTGTGTCAACCGTAAGAGCAACAATAATAATTTAGCCCACGTCGCTCACGGCGGATGTTTATAAAGATCCCCGCAATGGAGGGCCATCGTGTGAGCAAAAATTCGAAAAATGCTCCGTTGGATCATGCTGCACGAGCACGTCCCATCACAACTCTCGGATGATGCCTCGAACCGCAATTGAAATCGGTGCGGGTGGGGGGGGAGTAGGGGTCGTGACCCAGGCGGATAATGAGTAATCGTGGCCCGGTTCTGATCTGCTGATGCCTTTATTAATCGCTCATTATCATAAGCGACGCATTACCCTACGGCGTTCCCAGAAGGCCCGTCCCCCTTGCCCTCCCTCCGTGCTCGAAAGTGCTTTGCTGTCTGTAATTCAAACATTTCACCTGGAGAGTTCACCCCCACCCTCCCACCCCCCACCCAACCCCCTACCGCAAGCTTGTGCAGGGACCTTGATTGACACGCTCTCACATGTGCGGAGCGAACATGCAACGACAACACTTGTGTGTGTGTGCGCACGTGCAGAAACGTTTTTAAGGAGGGACCCTGCCAAGTTTCGAAGTTAGGGACGCACACGCTGTGGTGGTGGTTGCTGTGGTTGTGGTTGCTGCCACTGCTGCTGCCGCTGTGTGCGATCCCATTTGAGTTGTTGACAGGTTCTAGATTTGAAGCTTTCGTGACTGCAAGGATCCATACTCTTTGGTTCTATTCGGTAAAGTCACGTAAAAAACAACAACAAAAATATAAAAATAATTCACGACGATTCGGCCACAACACAAGTGGCCTTCATCAGATGAAGGGACCGGACTGTCTAGAGGACAGCGCTGGAGTGAACACAGCCAAGCTCAGACCGCGACCTTTAAGCTGTGTGAGAGGAAGCAGAGTGCCTTGACAAAGGAATTAGCATAAAAAATTGCATTTAATTGGCGGACCCAGCATGATGAACGATGTAGAGGGGGAGAGCATGTGCAGACCGGCGAGGGGGGGAGGGGGAGTTTGCATATTGATGGTGTGAAAAGGGAATTTAAGCAGCTGAAAAAGTTTGGGATACCACTACTTGAAAAAATATACTGTACCATTGAAAATTAGTTTAATGTTTGGTTTGATTCAGAACATCTTTCCAATGGTTGCTTAATTTGAAACCATCCTCTCGGTTGAAATTGTGTCTGTGTTTGTAAATCTGAATTGCCTCGTGAACAAATCTCTGATAAAAACCCGTGGGTTTGCAAAGAACCTTGGTATCGGAGAAAATTATATCGTGATCACCCACAGTGTTGTAACAGTGATCAGCTACGTTGTTTTTTACGTGACTTTACCGAAGAGAACCAAAGAGTGTTGACAGGTTATTTTTTATTTCAGCATTGGGATGTCTTTTTGGACCCAGCTCTGCAGAGTGTGTGGCGTTTGTATGTTCTCCCCCTGTTCAACAGAGTGAGTGAGAGTGTCTGCTTCTGTGTGATCTCAATTGAGTGATTTGCAAGGTACATTTTGAGGAGGAAACCGGAGAATCCCGGGGGAAACCCCCACAAAGAACAGGGTGGGGGGGGGGGACAAACTCCATGCAGAAAGGCCCCTTCTTGCTGTGAGGAGGCGCCAGCATCACCACTGCTGCCATCTCCTGAATTCTCTGGTCGCCGATTTCCGGTTGCCCCAGCGGCCTGCACGGAAGGGAGCCGTGCTTTATAAACAACAACAATAATTTTAACACGTAGGCTTTCTGGACCAATATCATCCATAATACAGGTTTTTTGGGTTAGATCGCGTAAATATATAAATGTGTAAGTTAAACCCGCCACCACCCGACACAGCCAACTCGTAAGGGTTGTCACGTAAACAGAACATGCCAATTCGTCACTAGTACAGCACACCGGTGTGTTGGAGAGCCGAACCACAATATTTACAATCTGAGTACGACGTTTCGCCAGTAATTACAACTAGCTTCATCAGGCGACAGCCAGATTTGTGGAGAAGTCTAAATGTTTCGTTCCTTATATAGAGGCGTAGATGTGGTGACCACGCTTCTGCGCTCTTGCACAATGTGGGGGGGGAGATTAACGAGTCATCGTCCACGATGCTGGCAACAGGAGCGGTGTGGCGCATAACTCTCCTGTCTGTCGTTTTAATTGACGCTGTGTTTGGGATGCTCGGGCCACTCTCTCATCGGCACGGTGATCGGGTGGCACCGGGGCGGTGATCGGTTGGCACCAGCATGGTGATCGGGTGGCACCAGCGTGGTGATCGGGTGGCCCCGGGGCAGTGATTGGGTGTCACCAGGGCCGTTGTCTCGTTGTGCTGGCTACGTTGTAGCCCCGTAGTGCTGTGTACTTCTCTCTGGAGTGAGCGGTCCCTGTGAGGAGTGGCCCCATGAGGAGTGGTTCCTGGTCCCTATGAGGGGCAGTCCCCATTAGGAGGACTGTGACCTGGTCTCCATGAGGAGTGATACCTGGGCCCCGTGAAGAGGACTGACCTGGTCTCCATGAGGAGTGATACCTGGGCCCCGTGAAGAGGGCTGTGGCCTGGAGCCTGTGCCGCTGGCTCAGGCGGTGAAGGCCGCGCCTGTAGGGAGCGGCGGCGCCCAGCGTAGACCCCCAAAGCCGGGGGTTATCCCCTCGACTGCGTGCCTCCAGCGCCTCCTCGCAGCAAGAAGGTACCTGGGTTCGATTCCCGACACGGGTGCCTTTCTGCGTGGAGTCTGTACAGTCTGTTCTCCGATAACACGGTGGTCGTTATGGAAAAATCGCGTTATAATAAATAATATATAATAATATAGGGGTTAAGGACAATCCGCAATAATTCGTGAGATGTGTAATACAGCCCGAAGAAAAACTGAGGCTCAGGAAGCGTCTGGAAGCATCCAGCATCATCCCGATGCCTTGTGCGATGATGCTACGCCAAGCCAGCCATACAACCGTTTATTCCTACTCGAGGAACGTAGTTCCGTTCACTCGATCACGTTTTATCCAATTCGCATTCCGTGTTATACATTTTTTTTCCCATAATACATTCATCGCGTTATATCCAATTTACGTTAAGAAAACAAGCGGCATTATAGGAGAACAGATTGTATGTTCTCCCCCCGTTCTGCAGACTACGAGTCTATATGGGTCTCTTTGGGTCTCTCTGTCTCTATGGGTTTACTACACGGCCCGTAGTTAGGGTTGCATTGACCACAAATCGCACTCCTTGTGGCTTTTCATTTTTAGGTTTTTTTCCCCGTGGATCTTTCATCGGTGGCGAGTCGCCCCCTCGTGGACTTTGCGTGGCATCGCTGCTGAGTTACCCAACGCGACTCTGTACGATACAAAATCAGGCAGGGCTGGTGGCAACTACCTGGCCTGCTATACAGGAGGCCCTGGGTTCGATCCCGACCCTGACGCCTGCTGCTGTATATTTGGAGTTTGCGTGTTTCTCTCTCCCTGTGGTCGCGTGGATTTTTCTCCGGGTCCTCCGGTTTTTCCCTCCACATTTCTAAACGTGCGTTTAAGAGTATTTGGCTGTTATTAATTTCCACATGATGATGAGCCACTTCGTTGAGCTATCATTTGTGGCCAGGTCCTTTCTGAAAAGAGAGATATGTAGATCAGCGGGGCCTTACCTGTTAAATAAAAAATATATATTTTAGTTTCGGTTCAACACAAGCGAAAACTTCCGAACTCTGCAGTACATCCCTCAAGTAGGGTCTGCTGATGAGACACTGAATGTCGACACCCAGTCAAGAGTCTGCCAGCGAGCGTGATTGGTCGGCTTTGTTAAGCACCCCCCCGTCCCTCACCCCCCCCGTCCCCCACCGCCCACCCCCCACCCCCCCACTTTTGCCCCTCCACCTCCAGCAGCCTTTTGTGGTCATGCAGATGGTGGCGACACTCACGGGCAGGGAGTGTGGTAGAGGGAGGGGGTGCAGGGAGTGAGGTAGAGGGTGCAGGGAGTGTGGTAGAGGGTGCAGGGAGTGTGGTAGAGGGAGGGGTGCAGGGAGTGAGGTAGAGGGAGGGGGGCAGGGAGTGCGGTAGAGGGAGGGGGGCAGGGAGTGAGGTAGAGGGAGGGGGGCAGGGAGTGAGGTAGAGGGAGGGGGGCAGGGAGTGCGGTAGAGGGGGGGGGGGTGCAGGGAGTGGGGTAGAGGGAGGGGGGCAGGGAGTGAGGTAGAGGGAGGGGGGCAGGGAGTGTGGTAGAGGGAGGGGGTGCAGGGAGTGTGGTAGAGGGAGGGGGGCAGGGAGTGAGGTAGAGGGAGGGGGGGCAGGGAGTGAGGTAGAGGGGGGGGTGCAGGGAGTGTGGTAGAGGGGGGGGGGTGCAGGGAGTGAGGTAGAGAGAGGAGGAGGGGGGGGTGCAGGAAGTGGAGCAGGCTGGGAGGTGAGTGTAAAGAAGGTTTCGCGGGGGAGGTGAGTGGGGAGGGTTGGGTCAAGTTTGACGCAGGTGGCGTCGTCGTCTGCTGCTGTTGCTGCTGTGTTTGGCTCACAGCCCCAGTCCGGCTGCAGATGCTGGTAAAGTCTGCGAGCGTGAGTCTGCGAATCTGAGTGCGAGTCTCTGAGTTGTTGGACTCGCGACCGGCGTGACTCGTGACTGCTCCTGCCACGGATACAACGCTCCTCATGGATCTGCCTCTACGTCCATAGCCGTGTGCCGGCGAGCATGCGAGTGGGTGACTGAGCGAGTGAGTTAGCGGGCAAGTGGGTGACTGAGTGAGTGAGTGGGCGAGTGGGTGGGTGACTGAGGGAGTTAGCGAGTGGGTGAGTTCGTGGGCGAGTGAATGTGTGAACGAACGGGTGAGTGAATGTGTGGTTGAGCAGGCGAGCGAGTTGTCGGGCGAGTGAGCGGGTAAGCCAGTGAGTGGTTGAGCACGTGAGTGAGCGAGTGGGTGGGTGAGCGAACTGCCGGATGTATCGGCCGAGCCTCGCCACGTTCCTGTGCTCCGCGTCTGGCCCGGCATGGCCCGTCCCTCGCCTGCCACTCTGGCACGCGGCCTCCATCGGTGAGCGCCCCAGGGCAACGCGCCGCACCACACAGCACCGCACCGCACCGCGCCACACTGAACCACATCGCAGCACACCGCACCTCACTTCACTGCACTTCACTGCACTTCACTTCACTGCACAACATGACACCACACTGCAACACATTGCATCATATCACACTGCACCACACTGCAACACATTGCACCACACTGCCCACTACTACCTACACTACCCCAACAAACACGACCATTACGGAGCATTTGGCTGGGTCTCCACACTCTCACACACACGCTCTCACACACACACGCGCTCACACACACACGCGCTCACACACACACGCGCTCACACACACACGCGCTCACACATGCTCTCACACACACATGCTCTCGCAAACACTCACCCTCTCACACACACACAAAGACAAAGATCCCCCGTATAGCCTTAACAGACTGTAGGGGCAAGTGCTGTTAGCGAGCACCTATGAAGGCCGGAACGGTACACGAGGGAGTGGGTGGCCAGCACCACGCCCGACCGCCTTTGTCTCCCTAGTGGCAATGTTTACACACCGCACCAGGTACTCATTTGAGGCTGAGTCGACCTAGGGGAGGCCCGGGACCAGGTTCAGATAATCGTCACTGGTGTTGGCCGTGAGTGGGAATCGAACCCGAGTCGCCAGGTTCATAGTGCAGCGCGCTAACCGCTACACTATCGCTCCCCACAAGGTAGAAGGAGAGGGGTGCACACACACACACTCACCCTCTCACACACACTCACCCTCTCACACACTCACGCTCTCACACACACACCCTCTCACACACTCACGCTTTTACACACACACTCATCCTCTCACACACACACTCACCCTCTCACACACTCACCCTCTCACACACTCACCCTCTCACACACACACTCACCCTCTCACACACACACACTCACCCTCTCACACACTCACGCTCTCACACACACACCCTCTCACACACTCACGCTTTTACACACACACTCATCCTCTCACACACACACTCACCCTCTCACACACTCACCCTCTCACACACACATGCTTTCACACACACACGCTTTCACACACACACGCTTTCACACACACACGCTTTCACACACACACACTCACCCTCTCACACACTCTCACACACACTCACCCTCTCTCACACTCACCCTCTCTCACACTCACGCTCTCTCACACACACACACACTCACCCTCTCACACACACACTCGCCCTCTCACACACACACTCGCCCTCTCACACACACACTCGCCCTCTCACACACACACCCTCTCTCACATACATCGCTTTCACACACACGCTTTCACACAATCTGCAGAACAAGTAGAGAACACACAAACTTCATACAGGGAAGGTGCCCGAGTTGGGAATCGAACCCCAGGCCCCTTCTAGCTGTGCCGCGTGGGTGATGTCGCATCGTGAGGAGTGCCATTACGTTCATTCGCAGACATTTGTCGCTCCACTGCTGCATGAGGCCATGCTTCCTCGCACCATGCAGCGTGCACGGTGGTGAGGGGGGCAACGGGGCCAGTTCAGCTGTCACTCGCCACGTGGTTGCTTTGGGCAGTCATCAGTGATGTTCACCTGGTGCTTTGCATCTCGCTGCATTGGCAGTTTGGTGGAGGTGTCCGGGATCGTTCTGCTTATGCAGGCAATATCACCACAGGTTCTTCTTCCTCCACCACACGTTGTTGTTGTTTGGACGCGGTTGATCAGAGTGGTCCCTGCTGGCGTCTTGGAGTCAGGTTCTCTTAACCTTATCACCGGAGCCCCGCTCATACGTAGTAGTAATAATAACAACAATAATTAAACAGTCAAACTTTTTGAGTGTGTTCGAAGGAGTACCGCAGCCGGAGTGTTTCCATGACCATCTATGAAAACCAGACTTAACGTGTGTACTGCGCTAATACCTAGTTTATTTAAGGCTTTGTGTCTGTCACTCAATAGCTACCGACAGTGTAACGATATGTACGCCAGGAAACGTTTTAAAAATTTAATTCTTAGCTGGTGCTTGCCGAATGCAGCGTTATTATAATTAGGTCACACTCATGACAAATGCAAAGTGCTTGCCACAACTGAATCGCAATACCTCGCTGATCTCGTTAAGGAGCATAAACCATCACACACATACAGTGAGGGAAAAGTATTTGACCCCCTGCTGATTTTGTACGTTTGCCCACTGACAAAGAAATGATCAGTCTATAATTTTAATGGTAGGTTTATTTGAACAGTGAGAGACAGAATAACAAAAAAATCCGGAAAAACGCATGTCAAAAATGTTATAAATTGATTTGCATTTTAATGAGGGAAATAAGTATTTGACCCCTCTGCAAAACATGACTTAGTACTTGGTGACAAAACCCTTGTTGGCAATCACAGAGGTCAGACGTTTCTTGTAGTTTGCCACCAGGTTTGCACACATCTCAGGAGGGATTTTGTCCCACTCCTCTTTGCAGATCTTCTCCAAGTCATTAAGGTTTCGAGGCTGACGTTTGGCAACTCGAACCTTCAGCTCCCTCCACAGATTTTCTATGGGATTAAGGTCTGGAGACTGGCTAGGCCACTCCAAGACCTTAATGTGCTTCTTCTTGAGCCACTCCTTTGTTGTCTTGGCTGTGTGTTTTGGGTTATTGTCATGCTGGAATACCCATCCACGACCCATTTTCAATGCCCTGGCTGAGGGAAGGAGGTTCTCACCCAAGATTGGACGGTACATGGCCCCGTCCATCGTCCCTTTGATGCGGTGAAGTTGTCCTGTCCCCTTAGCAGAAAAACACCCCCAAAGCATAATGTTTCCACCTCCATGTTTGACGGTGGGATGGTGTTCTTGGGGTCATAGGCAGCATTCCTCCTCCTCCAAACACTGCAAGTTGAGTTGATACCAAAGAGCTCCATTTTGGTCTCATCTGACTACAACACTTTCACCCAGTTGTCCTCTGAATCATTCAGATGTTCATTGGCAAACTTCAGACGGGCATGTATATGTGCTTTCTTGAGCGGGGGGGACCTTGCGGGCGCTGCAGGATTTCAGTCCGTCACGGCGTAGTGTGTTACCAATTGTTTTCTTGGTGACTATGGTCCCAGCTGCCTTGAGATCATTGACAAGATCCTCCCGTGTAGTTCTGGGCTGATTCCTCACCGTTCTCATGATCATTGCAACTCCACGAGGTGAGATCTTGCATGGAGCTCCAGGCCGAGGGAGATTGACAGTTCTTTTGTGTTTCTTCCATTTGCGACTAATCGCACCAACTGTTGTCACCTTCTCGCCAAGCTGCTTGGCAATGATCTTGTAGCCCATTCCAGCCTTGTGTAGGTCTACAATCTTGTCCCTGACATCCTTGGATAGCTCTTTGGTCTTGGCCATGGTGGAGAGTTTGGAATCTGATTGATTGATTGCTTCTGTGGACAGGTGTCTTTTATACAGGTAACAAGCTGAGATTAGGAGCACTCCCTTTAAGAGTGTGCTCCTAATCTCAGCTCGTTACCTGTATAAAAGACACCTGGGAGCCAGAAATCTTTCTGATTGAGAGGGGGTCAAATACTTATTTCCCTCATTAAAATGCAAATAAATGTATAACATTTTTGACATGCGTTTTTCTGGATTTTTGTTGTTGTTATTCTGTCTCTCACTGTTCAAATAAACCTACCATTAAAATTAATGACTGATCATTTCTTTGTCAGTGGGCAAATGTACAAAATCAGCAGGGGATCAAATACTTGTTTCCCTCGCTGTACACGCACCCACACACACACGTCTTTTGGCTGGCCATCGAGCAAATATGGTCCACCACATTGCGCGTGTTCAGGTGCGCTTCTGCAGCCGTCTGGAACTCTCTTTCCTTCCAATAATAGGAAGCCACTGGAGCTACACACTTTTAATCATCATCATCTAGATTGACAAACTCATTTCTTCGTAGCTGCTTGTTGTGTTCAGTTTGTACTTCCCCTGCAGCTACGCATGGTGCGAAAGAAGTTCAACATACGTACATACATGGTGTATATAGTAGCAAAGTGTAGTGATTAGCGCTGCACTTTGCAATGAATCCAGCGAACTGTGTTCGATTGATCATTGGTGGATAAATATTTGAACTGGACCTGGGACTCCCCTGGGCCGACTCAGCCTCAAATAAGAACCTGGTGCGATGTGTAAACATCGCCAAGAGGGAGAAAAAAGTTGGCCTGGCGTTTTGCTGGCCACCCACCCCTCGTGTGCCGTGCCGGCCTTCATAGGTGCTACTCGCTAACAGCACTTGCCCCGACAGTCTGTTAAAGGCTGTACTGGTGATCTTTGTTGTAGTCGTTGAATCCCCAACTCAGTTTCAGTCCAGTCTGTCTCTCCATGTGCCATGAAGAAGGCCCATTGCCCAGAACGACGCCCATCATACCATCTTACGCTCGGTGTTATTTAGGGATTTGTTGGGCTTTGCGTGATGTGTGGACAGATGTGAACGCTGTGCCCACCTGGTGGCCAAGCTGCCACAGCTGGGTCACAGACGGTGACTCGCATGGCCGTGTAACACGTGTCTGCTGAGCACAAGGCCAGCAACAAACAACATCGTTAGCAAAGTTGTAATGGGTGAGAGCGTGTAACGCGTTTCCTGAGTTGAGCGAGGTTATTATTGTGAGATGATGATTATTGTGAGAGATGATGACTGGAGGAGAGGGGAATTCCAGAGTGGAGCAGTGCTAGGGAGTAAGGAGAAAGGGAATTGAGGGGTGGGGTGACCTGCAGTGTGGCGAGTGAGTGGGTGGGTGAGTGAGTGAACCGAGTGGGTGAGTGGGTGGGTGAGTGAGTGATAGGGTGAGTGAGCGAGCAGGTGGGTGGGTGGGTGAATGAGTGACGGGGTAAGTGCATTACTGGGTTAGTGAGTGAGTTGTGACCTGCAATGTGGTGGTGGTGGTGATGACACGATATACATTTTAATTAGTATTGTTAAACAGTGCCTGTTAACCGAATCCTCAACATCGGTGGAGTGGTCAACGAGCGAAGTTCACGG